TGTTTGTGTGTGTGAGTGTGTGTGTGTGTGTGTGTGTGTGTGTGTGTGTGTGTGTTGTGTGTGTGTGTGTGTGTGTGTGTTTGTGTGTGTGTGTGTGTGTGTGTGTGTATGTGTGTGTATGTGTGTGTGTGCGTGTGTGTGTGTGTGTGTGCGCGCGCGTGCGTGCATGCGTGCGTGCGTGCATGCGTGCGTGCGTGCGTGCGTACGTGTGTGCATATACTGGGCCAATACCGCGCCGCATATGTTAGAGAATTTATCATTGAGTTTCGCGGACAATCGCTAGTTCTAATCAGCTGATGCCAAACGGATTAACAATCACTGTTGATGCCGCCAAGTGCATCTTTTAGTTTCAAAGTTTGCTTATCTTCTCTGCTAGATGGCAGAAAGAGTTAGTGGTCTCATCAGCAGATACAAGCCAAGATGGCGAATTTACTGTTAAGGCAATTTCTTAAAACAATCTAATTTACCGATAAAGTTAAACGGTCCACAAAGTCCTGTAAGTATTTTAAAGCGTTAGCATCTACAGTTAACCCTTTTAGGACAGTTTAGTGGCATTTGTAGGCATTGCACTGTCGATAAGCAGCTTTTGGTGTTTATAAACCCCAATGGGATTCTTTGTGAGCAAATTCTAGTGATTGAGAAATCCTTTGTCTCAGGGCAGATCCAATCATTCTGTTTTTTTTGCTGCTACAATGCTACTGCTACATGTACGTCCTAATGCTAATTCTAATGATAATGCTACAAGTTTAGCTGTTGTTTACTACGGGTTTTAAGGTGTATTTTAAGCCGTCTACGCCAACCCTATGTATGGACACGTTTCTACAGTAATTTACATAACATTTCAGATTAATTTTAAATGTTTCTAGCATGGCAATGTGGTTTAGGCTATGTAACGATTTATACAGCAATCTTACATTATCTTATGAGTTCTGCATTTGTATCTTTGCAGTTAATCGCTCGCACCTAATGGTTTTTTAAGTTGATGGAAATAAAGAACGCATATTCGGATACGTGGATTTGAACTCGTTTATTTAGGATTGGGAGTTATAATCACTGATAATAATTACGTAAATAATAAATAAATAATCATGATTATCGCGCAAACAATCAATCAGTAATCATGATGATCATATAAACAATCATTATTTCATTATAAAGATTATCATATAAGCATTAAATCAATAATCAAGATGATAATATAAGCAATCAATCAATGATTATGGTTGTTATATAAACCATTAATCAATAATTGTAAAAGCTGCAATAAATCTGATGCTAGATGGCGCTGGGCTCTGTGCTGAATGACGTCACTGCTTGCAGGCACGGCGCAGAGGAACGATGAGAAGGGAGTATGCGCCGGTGCCGACGACTTCCCAGAAGGCATCAGTGCGAGGCTGTCGCTCAAGGATGGCTCCAGCGTCGGGCTGTCTGCAGGTATAGGGGGTGACAACACCTCACTAGCCGGCCTTACTCTACCCCCGCCTACCCCTGCAGGTATAAGGTGTGACGACACCTCCCTAGCCAGCCCTACTCTACCCCCTCCTACCCCTGCAGGTATAGGGTGTGACGACACCTCCCTAGCCAGCCCTACTCTACCCCCTCCTACCCCTGCAGGTATAGGGTGTGACGACACCTCCCTAGCCGGCCCTACTCTACCCCGCCTACCCCTGCAGGTATAAGGTGTGACGACACCTCCCTAGCCGGCCCTACTCTACCCCCTCCTACCCCTGCAGGTATAAGGTGTGAAGACACCTCTCTAGCCAGCCCTACTCTACCCCCGCCTACCCCTGCAGGTATAGGGTGTGACGACACCTCCCTAGCCAGCCCTACTCTACCCCGCCTACCCCTGCAGGTATAGGGTGTGACGACACCTCCCTAGCCAGCCCTACTCTACCCCCTCCTACCCCTGCAGGTATAGGGTGTGACGACATCTCCCTAGCCAGCCCTACTCTACCCCGCCTACCCCTGCAGGTATAAGGTGTGACGACACCTCCCTAGCCGGCCCTACTCTACCCCCTCCTACCCCTGCAGGTATAGGGTGTGACGACACCTCCCTAGCCAGCCCTACTCTACCCCGCCTACCCCTGCAGGTATAAGGTGTGACGACACCTGCCTAGCCAGCCCTACTCTACCCCCTCCTACCCCTGCAGGTATAAGGTGTGACGACACCTCCCTAGCCAGCCCTACTCTACCCCCTCCTACCCCTGCAGGTATAAGGTGTGACAACACCTGCCTAGCCAGCCCTACTCTACTCCGCCTACTCCTGCAG